TGAACTATTTAAGAGTTTCCTATATCGGTGTATTGGTTCTAATTGCTGACGTCAACATTTAGTTCTAACAAAATGACTTTTCTCTTTCTTTCTTTCTAAACTTTAGATTTCTGAAGAATTCTTTTTAGCGCGTACCTACCCCCAAAATCCAATCACACATTTTAATTAAGCTTTTATCTGATCTTTTTACCAAAGCAGTACTTACTAACTACACTACCAAGGTAAAGCTTGAATTAGCGTTTACTATAGAAGAGGACCACAGCGCGACATTTGTCTGCACGAACTTTTTTTGCTCACTTTTTCGCATGCCTCTWTTAATTTGCGCTATCTGGTGCAACCTTTGACGCGCAGCACAATACGAAATTACGAAGAGTTCGCCTTKAATGCTCGCGCACAGGACACACTTTGTGGGTATATTCGCCTTCGTTTTTCCTTTCTCTGTCTTATCGCTTCTTCTTTTCTATATATTACATACAATTTGCACATTTTACTCTATTTCACTTTCTTCATTATTGCTGTCAACTATCCGCAAACACACATACACATATACATACATACGTTCACAAATATTTAGCAGTGAACATCATTGCAACTCGCCGAGACACTGTGTGTCCCCACTTGAGTACGCCAAGCGCGCTCCGAGCACTCACCTCATGTCCTTTTTGCTGTGCACTGCAATTACTTATATCCAAGGATCCACTTATAAAATCATTTTGTACATCAACAATGAGGAAAGCGTTCACCGGTCGCACAATCTGCGTTGATGTTGTTAAGCGTCGGTTTGTTTGTATGTGCGCGTGAAAGGAAAAAGTAGAAAAATAAAGTTCATGTTAGATATTTTTCGGAGTGCTAACACAAGCGTTCACACACATACRCGCCTATGGTATAACGACAAAATTATAAACATGCTCACATACAAATACAAAAATAAACACACACGTTGTTTGTTGCTGTGGAAAAATGAAGTGTTGCTGAGAGTCAAGTGAAATTTACAATAGCCAGCAAATAGCGGAAGGATGCCGGCAGGATATGAAATTTRAGTGCGACATTGTTGATGTTGCTTGCAACATTTGCGGTTTGGCGAATATGAATTGGCGGATATTCATGTAAAAGCCAATTAATTTGTTGGGCATATATTTGGCAAATTACCGACTTCTTGCTTTTTAAAGTCTGAGCGTGTGAATAAGGGCACACCAGTGATCCCTATATGTACGCAGGTATATAAATTGAGCCTCTCACCTGACCTCATGTATTGGTGCTACATAGCGATAGTCAAGCCTATCTTGCTTTACGATACTTTGATGTGATGGACCTTCTTCTTCTTTATTCTYCACCTGGTCTTTCTGACGGAATGGAGATCCTCCTCCATGCCTCTGCACCATATGAATGATGAGTGTCTTTTAGAGTTTGGTTTTTGTCCGTCGAGAGAGGACTTTACTTTTCAATTGCCAACTCAGTCCAAGCCACTCAAGTAGAAACTGTTGGTAAGAGTTATTCTGCGTTGTATTTTGAGGCTGAAGTTTTTTTTTTTTTTGTGTTAATGCTGGTTCCAGGATATACGACAGTGACGGGGAGAAGATAGGGTGCATATATTGGCAGAATGCCTGATGTACTCGGACAATACGGTTCTGGGTGTTATGGCGATTAGCTGGACTGATGGACGATTAGATGTTAGTGGTTTGATCTACACTAGTCGGAATACCGTTGGGGTCGTTTTGGCGAGAGTTGCTTAAGCGGTGAAGGCGTTTAGCTGGGAATTAGAGTTTGTGTGTATGGAGTCCAACACCTGACCACCAGTCCAGACTTGTATGGCAGCTCAACTGGCTCCTCGGGGAGTATCGTGGTGGTTGTGGTTCAAACCCAAGAACTGACTTTTTCAGTTGAATGTGGAGTTGAAATGCAACCGGRTGCCGGACGCAAAACACGGCAGAGGTTTTAGAGRCGCCTRGAACCCTAMCAAGGTGGTAAGTATGTCAATTCAACAATGCCAATTGGTAGTCAAAGTTCCTAGAATCTTCAGGGCGTTAATCAAGACATTGATGTGATCCGCTGTGCTTTTGAACGCCGTAGTGTAAGGCTTCCGTCAGCAGGTACCAACCTTAAACACACTGCACCTTGTCCACAGTGACACAGTGTCCTCTATTTTAGGGAGAAGGTTTCAAGTCACATTAAAGGAGGATGGTTGATAAAGAAGCATGTCACTCGCCTGCGAAACTTACAACATCTATACAGACCTATCGTAAATGGCTAAGGGAGTGATGTCTTTTCAAGCAGGAATGCAATTGATGTCACGGCTGCCTGAATGCGGTTGTAAAGGTATGATGTCCAAGCTACAAAGGAATTCCGGGTAACGAAATAGCTGAAGAGATTACTAAAATTAACATCCGTTTGGCTACTGAACCAGTAAAGACAATACGGAAGTCACTTCAAATGATATACTATAAAAATTCCGTAAGAGCTGACAGACGCATCAGAACGATGTGGAACGCCAAGACCATCGGCAAGAGCTCCGGATAAAAACACGCATAGTTTTTATTTACACGAAAGAACTGCAGGATTTGCAGAAAATGCAAGGAAGTAGGCAAAATAGAGAGACACTAGAGCACCTCCCATGCTGGAGATATCTAGAAGCTTCGCAGTTGAAAGGACTAGACGAAGTATCAAAATTAGGTATCAAATCGCTCTTAAATTTCGCTAAAAGCTTTGATTCCCTGTATGACATCCGTCTGACGTTACTAAGTACCAGTTAGTCTATGTGTGCCGTAACAACCGGCCAATATAATCTAGTCTTTTTGAGTAACAAACGCTCTCCGACGGCGCTAAACCAAAGATCCTCCACTGCTGCAATCATTCCGGCTCCGTACATGAAAAATCAAAAAAAAAATAAAAATTCTCTACTAGAACATTTCATCCTAATAATAATCTACGCTCAAAAAATATTCAAAAAATTACAAAAAGGAGTTCAATTTTACYCTAAATTATAGTTGTTTGGTGAAATGCGCTCTGCCTTCTGAGTCCTAATGATTTATTATTTGTTTACCAAACGTAATATCAATATAACAATAAGACACTCTTTCAAAAAAATATTTACTCCCTTCTTATTCTACATTTTTTACTGTTATTGTGAGTAAGCCAAACAAATGTGTAATAACAATCATTTGTTACTCTGCTCTTTCATTTCCGTGAGTACAGCKAATTTTAATCATTGTAGCCCACTGTGATTATTAGTAAAGCGCACAGCAAGCAAGTAACTGTAAAAATATAATGTGCTAACACAGCTGCGCCGCTGGTTTCTTTGTACAATGGATAAGATGGCCATTCTTTAGAATGTTAATAGTTCACGACCTCAATTGAATTATGGGTCAAAGCACTCTTTGGCGCAAATATAAACGAAAGCACATAAACAAACGAAAATGATTGCTTCACAGAAACTTGAGAGCAGAAAGTATGTTTAAATTATGTAATAAGAAATGCTGTGGAAAGAATTGCAGCATATTTGCAAAATGCCAAAAATTGTACACCATGTCGTATGAGCAATACAGATTTTGTGCGGCACTTTTTCATACTCGGCACATTTAATGTATAAATTTGAAAGCTATTTTTTTAATACATATTGAGTTAAAAAATTCGTAAGAAAAAAATAGTTAAGGTGGGTAAAAAAAAAAAAGTTGAAATTATTATTATTATTATTATTTTTTTTTTTTATTGAGTGAAAACAAATTTTTTCTTAAATTTTATAAAAGGCTAAGAACCTCTTTTCCATAGCACCAAGCGAAAAATTATTCGCCTTTGATAGACCAARATATTATATAATATTATATATTGGGGAGTCGAAAAAGGCTTTTCGTATTTTGTCATTAGATGTCGTTRCAGTGGTATATCTCCAGTGCTACCAATCACATGGTGTTATATCTTATAGTGTTGGAAAGGTGAGATTTTAAGCTTCATTGAGTGACAATAATGAAGAAATGCGCTATATTTAAATGGTTTTATTTAGCTCACCCCGTTTGTTTTATTATTTATTCTTGGATCAAATTTAGTAATTCAAATTTCACCCTCTTCCTGTCAACCGATTAATCTGAAATTTTGTATACACTTTGGGTTTTGGTGACAATACAATTATGTTTATTCATTACCATTATAAATTCAAGATGGYCGCCGCTACAAAATGGCGGATAACGTAGGTTTTATCAATYCCATCAACATGGGTATCAAATGAAAGGTYTCAAGAAGTAGAATAAAATTTACTATGCAAAATTGAAATCTAAGATAGCTAACGCTCAGCCCCTGGTGGGGATAGAGGGSAGGTTGAGGGCTTTTCTGAAAGCCCCAGGTGTGAACTAACTSGCAAAKTAATTTTTATCTCCCTCCCTCCCCAATATTGACGTTTCAAAGGGATTAGTAAATGGCGCTATAGGCTACATCAACGAAATCGTYTGGCCTCAATTTCGTCGAACTCAGATGTATGCAACAGATATACCTTCCGTACGAATTGATTTCGAAAGAGACAGAGTACATGTTATACACCCGAAAGCCATACAGTTTCCAGCTAAGTACAATTACGGGACGGCTGACAGAAGAATGTTGCCTTCAATACTATCATGGGCTTCTACTATACATAAAATGCAGGGCAGCACTGTGGATCACGCAGTCGTATACTTAGGTGCARGACTGTTTGAAGAAGGTCAAGCCTACGTGCTTCTTAGTAGAGTAAGATCTTTGCAGGGACTACGTATAGAGAAGTTTGACTGYAATAAACTAACGGGCAAGAAACCTTGCAATGATGAAGCACTAAATGAATTAAATAGAATGCGAAATAAAAACTAAAAACTAGAAAATAAAAATAGGTAAAAAAACTTTTTAATTTAAACGGTTTTATGTTAAACATACATTGCAATGTTTAAGATAAATGTACTAAAAACCAAAAAATAATAAAATAGATACAGTCGTGGGAATTATAAACATATGCATAGACTAAAATAAAACCGTGGGGCATGTCAATTGTCTACAATCGGTGATTAAAATGTTTGTTTTGTAAAAAAAAAGTTAAAAAGTTTTTTTACCTATTTTTTTTATATGAAAAAGGGAAGAATGCCACGCAAACCACCAATGAAATATGTGAAGTTTGCAGTGACGATGCTATATCAGCTCGCGTAGCACAACAATGGTTCGCTCGTTTCTGTTCTGGAAATTTTGAAATTTCCATTTACACCGATAAAAATTTCACACCGATGAAATAATGTCTCTAGCGAAAAAATGGCAAAAAGTGGTTGACCAGTGGTGGTTGAAGTTTGATTAGAAATACAAAAGGACTTTTTCGACTACCGAAATATACATACATATAGTTATGATTCAAATTTATATCAAATCAATTATTTTTAAATTAATTACATATCTTTTTATATTTCCNGACTGTTTGAAGAAGGTCAAGCCTACGTGCTTCTTAGTAGAGTAAGATCTTTGCAGGGACTACGTATAGAGAAGTTTGACTGYAATAAACTAACGGGCAAGAAACCTTGCAATGATGAAGCACTAAATGAATTAAATAGAATGCGAAATAAAAACTAAAAACTAGAAAATAAAAATAGGTAAAAAAACTTTTTAATTTAAACGGTTTTATGTTAAACATACATTGCAATGTTTAAGATAAATGTACTAAAAACCAAAAAATAATAAAATAGATACAGTCGTGGGAATTATAAACATATGCATAGACTAAAATAAAACCGTGGGGCATGTCAATTGTCTACAATCGGTGATTAAAATGTTTGTTTTGTAAAAAAAAAGTTAAAAAGTTTTTTTACCTATTTTTTTTATATGAAAAAGGGAAGAATGCCACGCAAACCACCAATGAAATATGTGAAGTTTGCAGTGACGATGCTATATCAGCTCGCGTAGCACAACAATGGTTCGCTCGTTTCTGTTCTGGAAATTTCGAAATTTCCATTTACACTGATAAAAATTTTACACCGATGAAATAATGTCTCTAGCGAAAAAATGGCAAAAAGTGGTTGACCAGTGGTGGTTGAAGTTTGATTAGAAATACAAAAGGACTTTTTCGACTACCGAAATATACATATAGTTATGATTCAAATTTRTATCAAATCAATTATTTTTAAATTAATTACATATCTTTTTATATTTCCTTCACTAAATATTTTTAAACATTTTCATTCATTGCAGCACACCTAATTGGGACATAAAGCATTATTTTGCAAATTCTTTCCACAGCGCGCTCATACAAACTGCATATGCTTACATACTTACACGTTTGCAACCATCAACAGCCGGAAATTACTTTAACACCTTTTCTCCTCCACACATACAAAATCAAAATWCTCACATACACACCTCCACACAAACACAACACACATTCRCGCATACAGTAGTTCACATGCTCACACTTCGCTCACGTCAATTGCAAGAATTTTACGCTTGTAGCCTTCTACCATCGTTAAGTTTACCGCCAACTTCGCCTGCCCCACCAAGCACTGCTTGTCATTTGCTTGCTTGCTTGTAGACRTCATGGCAATGTCAGATTGAAATTGAATTGCGCTGCTTGCCAGACAGGAAGGCGCACACATACCCGCCCTAATGCACCGACAGAGCTAAATGTCGAAAGGGTAAATAAAATCAATTTTCAATAAAAAGCCAATTCCGGTTACGTTCTCAAGCTAAAAGAAGCAGCAAAATATATTCGCCTGTTTTCGTAATTCAAAAGTTCCTTCTCAACTCGACAGGCAGCAGGATGTGTTATTTTTATTTATGATTTACAAAGTACAATTTATTGTAACTTTGTGTTAAAGCGCAGTTGTTGGCTGCATTTTATAGAAAAAATATATACTGTTGATACTTCCATAACTCAAATCATCAKAATCYACAAAAAAGCKYGGAGTTAGAGATACWWCGAGTTAWGGAAGGAAATTTGTMTGAAATTTGACTTCTATAGCCAATACAAGGGTTCAAGTTATAGAAGTTTTAGTTATGGAAATTCAACTGTATATTTAATTAAATAGTGTGGAACTGGCATAAAGCTGTAGCAGAATTTGATAAAATTGGAAAATCAATATACATATGTTTAATAAAGCGAATTTTTAAATTTTTTTAATTTTAAAAACGTTCCTAGAAAGCAAAAAAGCCAAGTACTATGGCTTTTGAAAACGAAAGRTAAAAAACAAAAATGAAAGGAAAAGTAATTTGCGAACGATCTGAGTGCGAGTAGGAAAGCATAGGGGCGTGTTTAAATTTTTAAGAGTTAAACACCCCCTCTCTCGATTTCCGCCAAAACAGCGGTTCCTACAGAAAAAAATTATTTGGCAAAGTTGTAGGTATTGACAAGACGCATAACTTTTTTAATCAAAACCTCTCGCACATAACCTCAAATTTTATGTGAAAAATTAATTATTCAAGTTCAATTTATCAAGTTTTTGGGTTTTTTATTTTAATCTCGTACAGAATAAATATACTTCAACAACTTTGTGTTGAAGCAATATCCATCGTTACCGTTTTTTCTTGCTTTTCCTCATAATCGCATCTAGGCAAAAGTTAGCAATAAACTGCCTTCACAGGAAGCAATCATTTCTTCTTCGAACGCTTTAGAAAATAGAACTATTCGTAGTAATCTAAATATATAGTTCTCGTAAACAATTTATTTATACAGTGGTAATTAGTCGGCATCCAACAAAATCAATAAATACAACAAAGCGTACTAATCAATTTCAAAGTAAGTGCATATTGAAGCGTCTTAAGGGGTTAGGGGTAGTCAGAGGCACGAAAAAATTACAATTTTCAGTCTTTTTTTTGCTATTAAATCGTGTTATTTTACAAAAGTAGTACTGTGGCATTATTATAGAATGTGTTGACTTGAAGTCACGAAAATTTAAAAAAATCAAAAACAAATTTAATTTCCAAAGTTTTAGTTGTTTGCGTTGACCCTGTTCCAAAAAAAGGTGCTTGCAAGCATAACTCATTGGAGATTCATCTAAAATCAGTTGGACAAAAAAATGAGATTTCTTAATAAATAATTCTGGGCCTGATTGAAGGATTTTTTTTCAAAATTAACAAAATGGCGGCCTCAGGAAATTTTTTTCCAAATTTTTGCGAAAACCAACAGTTARTTGTTCTTAAAAAATCGCAATTTTTGAAAAAGGATCCTTCGATYAGGCCCCAGTTTATTATGTCTTCTAAAAGCTGTATAAATTTCATTAAAATCTACTAAGCGGTTTTCGAGTTACAGTTGTCACCAGTACAAAGAATATAGTTTTGAGAAAAAGTTAAAGTTTCACACTAGCGCTTTGAAGTGTCCGAGCTCTCTCGGTTATTTGTCGAATAACTTAAAAACTAATTATCGGCACTTAACGAAAATAAAAAAAAAAATTACTTTTAAAATTCTGACTACCCCAAACCCCTTAAGCGATGCCACGACCAAAGTATGTGTATATCCATAGTAACATAGTAAAAAAAAAACATTTTAAATTGCTTGTTTCGAACTTTTCGACCCACCCCAACTATTTTTTCTTATGAATTTTATAACTCAATGAAAATTAATGATTTTTCGTTTTTTTTTACCCACCCTAATATATGAATATACACATCTCATATTCGCAAAAAACCACAGCATAAGTACACGTGATCTACAATTTGCCGATTTATCGATTTTGTAATTGGTAATATTCAAATGCAGTAATTCTGCGGGCCTTTCAACCACAGCTGAAACACAGGTAAACCCACAGTAGCTTTGCGCATATCGCCCACAATCCACATATTCATACATTACATACATACATACATACACATATCATACATTGATCCATAACTAAATTGAAACACAAATTGACCTTCAGCGCTTTTGCGAGCAAAATTTAAATCCTTCTGTATGCTATGTTCAGGATTCGATGGAATCCCGTTTATTGCAGGATTTTCACTGCAAACGATAGGCCAACGTAAAGCAACGGCAACGAAAGGCGGKGAATAACCAACCGTATCGTAGGAAAAAAAAAAAAAAATTGTTGACAACTGTATTACGCAGACTTGATTTTTATGAATTTTTGACGTCGCCAACGCTTTGTAGCAGCGTTTAATAGAATAAAGCTCACAGCAACACAATTCGCTGTGACATAACTCAATCAAGTTGCAAGCGGCCATATGTAAATTYGTTTTTTAAGTGTGGGGAGAAGCACAAAAAGTAATATTGTTTACTGCACAGACATGCCATACATTCACATACTGCATTCAAACGTATGCATAGAGCTCCACATATTTTTACTTTCATTCCACAATAAAGCCACATATACGCTTAAGTGAACTAAAAGCTCCCAGTGCGTACACGTGTGCGCGTATGTTTGTAAGTATATGCGCATTTACTTACTGTTTTAATCCAGCGATTCCAGCAGAACTTAAATTCCTCCCTGTCTATGTAGCCATCAGCATCGGTATCGAATACTTCGAAAATCTGCTGCAACCGTTCAGCTGGCACATCGTAAATATGCCCCTTGTCGTTGCGGAATAATGCCCGACAGATGAGTGTAAATTCGCCCAAATTCAGACGGTCATCGCTGGAAGGTTAAGCGGAGAAGGATTATGAWCATATGAATTTATAAAATATTTAGGTTTACAGAACGAACGACATAGCATTTAATTTGGGTTTCTTTGTGAAAAGTTCTTGTTTTTATACCAATGAATTCGCCTGATTGTCTGACATTTGTCTCTCCACTTATCTGTAAATACGTGAACTAGTCTCTCAGATTTTTAAGATATTGAACTCCCGAAAAAGCTGGTAATTTGTTAGTACCACTGGTATCAGTATGACACAAGATATCTTCAGAAATTTTTACAAGGATTATAGCCTAAAGCTGTGAAGCAATCTCCGTGGAAATCGTTCAGATCGRATCGCTCCAGCATATACATACATAGCTGTCATACAATCGGAAACAAGTCCTTGTATGGACAACTTTTTTATATGGCAATATATCTTTACGAAATTTGTCACATAATTATGCCGAAGTCGACGGTACGATTTCCTAAAAAATTCTTCGGATCGGACTGCTATAGCATATAGTTGTCATATAATTTGAACGATCGGAACGAAGTGCTTGTATCGAAAACTCTTTCATTTCACGATATATCTTCAAGAAATTTTACATGGTTGATTCCCTAAAGTAATGAATGCATTCCCCGAAGAAATTTTTCAGATCGGATCATTATAGCATACAGCTGTCATACAAACTGTACAATCGGAACCAAGTGCTTGTATGGAAGAATTTTTCAGTTGACGATATATCTTTAAGAAACTTTAAATTTATTATTGCTTAAAGTAAATATGCAACCTCCGCTGAAATTGTTTAGATCGAGTCACTATAACATATAGCTGCCATACAAAGTGAGCGATCAAATTCAAGGCCTTGTATGGAAAACTTATTTCAATGACATTTCTAAATCAACACTACCATTTTTTCAAAAAATAGTTCATATCGGATCACTATAGCATATAGCTGTCATACAAACTGTACGATCGGAATCAAGTGCTTGTATGGAAAACTCTTTCATCTCCCGATATATCTTCAAGAAACTTGCTAGTTGCTCCACCAAAACCATATCCAAATTTGTTTGAGGCCATGCTAAGTAACATTTTTATTAATTATATAATATATTTCTTTGTTAGTAATACACAACACTTTTTAGCTTAATTACATTTAATATATTTTTTTATATTTATTGCACTTTTTAATTACATTTTTGTCGCCATAAAATTTGTCACAGCACATTAAATATAATTTTTATTATAAGTGAACTTGAAACACTCACCCGTCCTTATCGAAAGCGGTGAAGCAAGCATCCATTGCTGAGCCGTTCGGATCGTCGATTACAATTGGCGGTGTTGGTGAGTCCATTCTCACGGAAATGTCTGCTTGCAACCAAATTTTATACCGCCAAGAAAGTCGAAAACAAACACAACAATGCACCTGCAAGTAGAAGTAATGCTCAAGTCAAGTATTAAAGAACGCTAGTATAGCCTTGGTGGTTAAATGCCACTAACACGCCACCCTTGCACTCACATACACACACATGCTCACACACAAACACACACACACACACATGTGTGTCGTAAAAACTCACTTTTGTGTGGAGTTAAAAGCTCAAATTGAAGTACAAAACGCTTCCCAGTTAAAAAGCTATAAATCGCCACTTCGTCACCAACACCACTAAATACTAGAAGGTGGTGAGCGTTTCGATGACGTCTGAAGGATATCACTATATAGCGAAGGAAGTGAAAAATGCTTTATAATACGTTGAACGTGCCAAAAGTTTACCAAAAAATTCACTGTCGACCTGTGGCAGCGATAGTCAGACGACTAACTGCTAAACGCTTAAGCGGCAGCGTTTTTGTTGTCACCATGCAGCGTGTTTTCACGCTAAATGCTTCAATGATTTATCGAAATAACAAAACGCGCTGCACCTATACGCTCAGGAAGTGCGCTGCCGTGGGTGTGGTCGCCATAGCGATCGGMTGGCTTCTTTATGGCCTGCGTCTATGTATGGAGCTAAGTACACTTCGCGTATAACTTTCGAGCATTTTCATTCAGCGGTTTTGTGGGATTTCAATGCACCGCACTACCTACATACATACATATACATATAGAAATTTACCGCAATTTTAGCTGTGTTAAGTGGCGCGAAACATGAGCAGCGATGAGCATGCAAGCTACGCTGAAAGCGTCCGAGGCGTTAGAGGCGTGYGGTAGGCGTATGCGACCGCCTGCCGCATCAAATAAGTAATACGCAAATGATGAATCGTTTGAAAGCATTTAAGCTACTTTTTAACTGCATGCATACATATGTATGTATATACTAGCATGTGCAAGTAAATAATGGCAACGGAAAATGTTAGTGGCAAAGCGATTTGCACAATACTCATATGTATATTGTCTAATAATTCTAACATTTTAGTCTTTGTTGTTATTATTACATAATTATTATATAATAATATAATAAATGTTGACTTAAGTRTTTTTAGATTTAGAGAAATTTATTTTTAAGTTTCTTTTTTTTCTATACATTTTTGCACATTTTCACATATTCTAAAACAAATCTTTATCCATCCAATTTTTTATACACTTCTTATAAGTGTCGGCTGCGTTGGCTTTTAGTGACTTCAGCGAATGTCGGGTTTTGCAATTTCGGCTCTTTGTTGGAGCGCTATTCGGTAGATTGTTAGACAGTTTCCAGATCATATATATATATAAGCCTAGACCTCATCACAGATATGATAAATGTAGCGCGCTCAGTTCYATTCTCAAACATCTCATTTGCGACTTCGGTTTTGTAAGAGATTCAGGTCTTCATA